AAGTCATACCATACTCAAGACTGAGGGAAATGTTTTAGACTATGTACAGACCAACCTAGGCTGGCAAATGATGTATATTTTACTTCCCTAAGCAACAAGAGATCAAGCAACAGACCAAACTCCCGAGCTCAGAAGCCATGGAATCAGGAACATCCATTTTTCAACAGACAAACACGGGAGGTGGAATGTTTGGTAGCGGTGGGTCCTTTGGCCAGTCAAAAGGGGGATTGGGAGGAAGCTTTGGAGGTGGGAGTCCTCTTCTCCAGTCTAGTGGATTTTCAACTGTTTCAGACAGTTCAAGCCTATCAGGTCTGTTTGGAACAGGAAGTACTAACAACCAGTCAGGTGTGTTTGGACAGAGCAGTGTTTCAGGCGTTACAGGAAGTGTCTTTGGCAACAATGCCAACTCAACCAAGCATACAACGGGAATGACTGGAATTACGAGTACTTTCACTGCAACTAACCAATCAGGAGGCTTGTTTGGTACAAGCTCTGGCCAATCAGCTAGTTTGTTTGGTGTAAAAACTGCATTAAAACCTGGACTATTTGGTTCATCCTCACCAACAACATCAAGTGGGCTTTTTAGCAGTGGAACTCAAGTACAGAAAGATAGTACCATCATCTCTACAAGTCAATCATCGAACAATACCATGGTAGGTGCACTTTTATGTTCTTGTATGTGGAACTGCCTTCTTTGTTTCCAGCTACTAGTATCATAACATCATTACATGTTCAAGTAGTTCCTTTTTACATTTACCCTAAATGATCTACCAAATGCCTGGGGTGTCTATTAAATCTTGGAGGGGCATTGAATAGATATGAGGCATTTCATTAGAGAGAGGCATTTAATTCACTTTACATGTTAAGTGTAACAATTATTGTTACATGCAACAATGTCAACAAAACAGACAAGACACGTAGTTTGCTCACGGTGTAAGAGATAAACAGAGTTTGTGAGTAGTAGACTTATCTAATCTGCGCTAATACAAAGCCTAGGTGCTAAGAGATGTCTTTCATAGTTTGATATCGATCCACATCTTCATTGTCATCAGGGTCAAAGTTGCTGAAATATTGAGTACAGAAACAAAAGATACTAGAGTAGTATCCGCACTTTAAACTTGAGATTGAACAAGATGCAATTCGCAAACCAAGTGAGAAACCACAGGGGTCCCAAACACTATATTAATCAGCAGTAAAAATAAATGTGCTGTTATTTACCTGTGTTCCGGTGTCTTTTTGAGTCGTTTAGAAGGGATTATTATCTTGCCTGATGCTCCGAGTACGTCTCAAGTTTCGATCAACGTTGTTACTATTAACTTTCTTTTTAACACGCGGCTGTTGTGAAACCTGAGAATCTCTCCCCTCGATGAGAGTTAATAGTTAACGACAATAACAGAAACTTGAGACGTAATCAGAGCGTCATAATTACAAAGTGGCAGACGAGATAATATTCGGAAATATAAACTGCCATCGCTTCATTCAGATCCCTTCTAAACGACTCTGCTGATGTAGTGTTCAAGTTCCCTGTGGGGAAACTAATAAATCTATGGAGTGTTTCTTTTGTTTATGAGGTGCTTCTTTGTGAGAGGCATGTGCTAGACCCGGGGCGTTTATTGGAGGGGGACATGTAATGTAAACTTTACCCCTAAGGAGGGAGATATTCATTAGAAACTTTAGAGACAAGGCATTTATTAGATCATTTATGGTACTTGGTATGAAGTTCATTATGTTGTACTCGATGTGGTGGTGTTTACATGGCGTTCCATATTTGTTCAAGCACTTTTGTTTCTTCTACAGGGATCCACATCCCTACAGTCAGAAACACCTTCCACAAGAACCACAACAGCAACCACAATAACCACAGCAGCACCTGTGACATTAAGTTGCAGTGACGAAGATATGCAGGCCTTTAGGGCAGACAGTTTTGTGCTGGGAAAAATACCAGAGTGCCCTCCTCCGTTAGAATTGTGTTGATAAACTTAGTTTGGCTGTGAGTTAGGTACTACAAGTAAATGACAGTGAGAAGTGCAGTGTGCAAGCACAGGTTTGCTGATGGCGTACACTTCCTGTTGCAGTCAAGGGAACAGTCAAGTATTACTTTAACCTTTCCTGAACAATTTTCATTAGATTGGCACACTCATAAAGTTTTCATTTGAAAAACACTGCACAACCAACATCAGACAGCCAAAAATGATTAATTTGAGCAAAAATGCCCAAGATGTTTAATTTTATAATAAGTCACATAATATACATAATGGAGTTCATATTAATTTAACTTTATTATATTATTATGTAGAATGAAGTTAGATAGTACAGTGGAATCCCATAATACGACCACCTCTGGGCTATAAAATTGTGGTTCTATCAAATGTGTACTTGTATTAAGAAAATGGTCGATTAAGCATTTTTTTGGAAGTGGTAGTGATAATGAGCTGGTAATATTGGCAAGGTGGTTGTAAAGTGTAGTTCCAGCATAGTGACTTTTAAAATCATTCTTTCTAGTCACATTTCATGACCCTCTGTTTCCTGTCAGACTGATTTCTTAATTTCATTGCACAAGGTTATTTAAATTATATTAATCCTAAGATGAAACCCAACTTTTTGTAGCCTAAATTTAAAAGTGTGACCTAGTGACTCTGTACTTTGTACCTTTATATCCATGCAAAACAACCATGATCTTATTAATAGCTGGATGATAATTCCTACATTTCACATACATGTAACTTTCTGGTACACGTCAAAGACTCTGGCATGCCATAATTAACTAGACTTGCTTCAAATTCAAAAGAAGCAGCAGATTCTAGAGTTATTTGTCACCAGTTAGGAGTAGTATTGTTTGGACATGTAGTTAACACTGGTGATTGACAACTTAGCGAGACTGGCCTAGCCAGACCCCTTTTAAATACCTCTAGAACACTACCTTTGTACCTAAAAATAATTTCGAAGTTTAAAACTATTTTAAAGTACCAGTGTTCTACATGTATACTGTAAATAATCAGGATGACGATTATAATGCAATTATCAATATTTTTTGAAAAAATATAGCTATCTGAAGTACATTTGATTCTCTACTATTGACTCAGCTCTATCTTCAGAACAAGCCTAGTTGGCATTTTCTGTTATTTGCCATTTCCACATCCCTCATAATACACCTTGTTTGCCCCCCAAAATTCTGCATAACCTTTGTTTCCCAATTCTTCTGGGTATTACAGTCGTCCCAAGAGAAACTGAAGACAGTGCTTATGCAAAATTCTCAGGGGCAAACAAGGTGTATTATGGGGGATGTGGAAATGGCGAATGTTCTTGGCTGCAACACTCAGAATTACACTGGCTTGGGCGGCAGGACCATGACAGACTACCATCTAGAAACATACATCAGAGCAATATTCAGAGATTATAGATCCTGCATTAAACAGATATTTTATGGTAACTGCAGGAATTCCCGCATGCTCATTGGCTAATTTTCATTGCCAATATGCAGACAGATTATGGGAGGCACCAACGAGCGACAGCAGACAATTTGACAATTTGTTTTAAATCGTAAAAAAACAAATTGACGTCAGTTTCTTATGCGTCTGTCCTGTTACTGACAATGAATTTCGTCATAACATTGTCAAAGTAGTCTGTGGATCCACTCGGCTATCGCCTCGTAAATCCACAGCTACTTTGACAATGTTATGACAAAATTCATAATCAATAACAGGACCACCGGTAAACTACTCTTCTGCAGAGCATGGTCTCCATTGCATGGTTGGTGTGCATGCATGTAGTTCAACTGTATGTCACATCAATTTAAAATCTGAATCTTCTGACAATGTCCTTTTCTAGTATTTTACAAACTTTCAGTCAGACTGTAGTTATGTAAAAGTGACTTGCACACTTCATACACAGCAAACTGAATTCCAATAGTGGGTGCCACCTACAAGCAATAACAAATGATCTTTAGGACTGGTCTGTTTTCATAATACTCAAGGCTGTGGCACAGTTGTAATAAACAGGGGCGTAGCTAGGGGGTCCTGGGATGCCTGTGATCCCCCCTTTGTAAGCCGTTTTTTAAGCAAACAACCTACAACCGGTGGGAAAATGACATGACAATCTGGTGAGTACATGTACCCTCATTTTGGCACAGTATGACACCCCCGTTGAAAAATCCTGGCTACACCCCTGATAAATATCGCAATACTGAGGAGCTACAGTTTGTTTAGAGTGCATTGATTTAAACATGGTGTAAAAAGTGTTGGTGTTGTTTTAAATCCAGTTTAGACCCCAGCTAATCCAGTTCTGGCCCTCTCTCAGTCACGTAACACTAGGCTTCTAAGGACGCTACCTTGGGTGACAGAGAGAGAGGTTGAGAACTCGAGTAGACCACAACTTGCTTATTTTATGCCATTTATACCCAGTGGTTGTGACTGTGGATATGGTACAAGTCATGTACAGTATATTGTCTTCTTGTAGCTACATGTATGTCCCTTGGGAGCACAGGCTCAGGTCTTTCTTAAAGAGCTGGCTGGTAATCAAACCTGGCGAAAAGAGCTCCATGAACAGAAATGAAATTAACTAAATTTATTACTAACAGTTTTTAATGATATATGTTGTACTGTGTTACCTTCAAAAGATTTGGCCACATTCCCTTGAAAAGACCATGAATTCCTTCAGTTTTAGCAATCACATTAAAAGCATGCCACGTTGAGTTGTACTTGAACAGTTCGCCAGTTGCACCCTTCATCTGCATTCGACGACGTACCACATCAAGAGGGTATGTACCTGTTGAATCAGATGTACTTAAAAAATCATAGTGTTTCTTTTGTGGTAACTGCATGTAAAGCAACTTTCTTTGGGTAAAGGCTAAGTACAGTTAAACCTTCACTAACAGCTACCACTTTACAACGAGCACCTCTCTACAACAGCCACTTTTTTCGCTCCCAGTGGACAGTTCATGCATTTACAAGTTTTTATTTCAGTCTCTCTACTCTGACCCTGGGGGGGGGGGGGGGGGGGGG